ATTTATGATAATTTATTAGAATTTATCTTAAATTTAAATGAATGTCATGTTTGTTTTAATTGGATGCAAAACCATATTTTTTTACATATTTTTATACACATACTGTATTCGCAAAACAACCATGATGTTTAATTAAAACATGCATGAGGATAATTAAAACAACAATGATTTCCTATTAAAACATTTAGCGCATGAGGATATTAGATTTTCATTAAAACATGCAGCGAAATTCTGTTTGCCAAAATACGCGAAAATTTGTTTTGAGATTCAATTTGAAACTTTATTGCCGTGAAAAACTCAATCTGAATATTCATGCCGCGAAATTCCGTTTCCCAAAACATGTGAAATCTTGTTGTAAATCTAGTCGTTAATCAAGGAAAAACTCAATCTGAAGCATCATCCTTAACAGGAGTTAATCGAAACACAATACAATCAATTTTTAAAATGTACGATCGAACGAATTCAACACTTACTGGCTCTAGTCATGTTATTTATAATGAAGAGATTGGAAGAAGAGTTGAAGAGCTTATAAACGATAATACAACGACAACTATAATTGAAATTAAATATGCTTTAAATGTAAATGTATCGATTAAAACTGTCTGGAGATGGGTGACCAATCTTGGATACACATATAAAATTACTCGACTAATTTATGAAAGAAGAAACGACAAGGATGTAAAAAATCTTCGTATTGAATATGTTAGGTGGTATGATTCAATCTCGCCTATTAATCGCTATCGAAATATTGTTTTTATTGATGAAAGTCCATTTAATTTATACATATTTCGCAGGCAAGAAGAGGAGTAACACCAAACCCGGTCATTCACCCTAGGAAACGTAAGGTTTCAATGATATTAACCATCAATGGTTTAAATATTATTCACTGCGAAGCTGTCAGTGTGTCAGTCAACATAGTTTTGTTTCAAGAATATATTGATGATATTGTACAAGTTTTGGGGACAGAGGAAGAATTCACCGTGGTGATAGATAATGTCAGAATCCATCATAATGTTGAGATGAGGGCTCAGAACATTCAAATAAAATATTTGCCACTTTTTCACCATTCTTGAATCCGTGTGAAGAGATTTTTTTATCTTAAGAATAACGTGCGAAGAAATACGGCCCCAGCTGGAAGAAGTGAACTAATTTCAAAAATGCGTGGGGCATGCTTATCTATTCCTAATGTTAACTTATCAAACTATTACACACACTGTCAAAGCTTTTTCGAAGCATGTCAGATGACAGCAGGTCAGATGACATACCTCAACAGTAATTGGAAAATAAACATTATATTTTAAATAAAATAAAATTTTAAATAATTTTAAAAAATCCAATAAAAAAAATAAAAAAATATAAAGAAAGCCTTTTTTTTAAAATAATATAGAATGTTGAGATTGTGCATGCATTAAATGTTTTAATTGAAAATCACGATTGTTTTAATTGAAAATCATATTGTTTTAATTGATTGTCGCGGTGTTTTAAATGAATTTCATGATTGTTTTGAATGGTTGTCATGTTTGTTTTAAATGGATGTAAAAACTGGTAAATTATTTTATAAGTAAAAAAAGTTTTTAAATACCTATTTTATGTTTCGCGTAGTTTGAAAAGTTTAACATATTTGAAACATAATCTAGAAACTTATCTTTATATCTAATAACTTGCTATATATATTTGTGTTCTGTGTATATTTGCGGTGCATGTTTATCCCCGAGTTACTTTGTATGCGTTGTTTGTGTTTATTAACCAGAAACTTCTTATATGTTTGTTACATAACTAGTTTTATTAACTTTAATAATTATAACTTTGTTAAAAACGCAATTATTTTTGTAGGTCTTTATTTAAATCATTAAATCGCTTTAAAAGTAAATAATAAAGAATACATATTTTTTAAATAAAAAATAAGAATATACTAATAAAATCTATAATTTATAATAAACTTTTAAAATTTTGACAATTTAATATATAATTTTTGTAAACAAATAATATATAATCTTAACACAATTTACGCTTGAAATCTCAAAACATAACAATTCGTAAATAATACAATTTCTAAAACATTGCAACAGAATACTCTAGAACCTTATTTTGTTTAGTCAGCGTATTTTTTGAAAAAATAGAACTAGTTTGTTCATTAATTTGGCAGTTTTTTAGTGTTCGCGAATGTTCTTTTTATTCTTTCGTATCAAGATGTTTTAAGAACATTAAAGTTTTTTATGTATGTCCGTAATACAAAAATTTTTTGTTTCGTACATAAACTTAAATGTTCTCAAAACAACTAAAACACCTGGTCAGTTTTTCACAACTAAATATAATTTTCGTGGTCAGTATTCGAGAGTGATCGCTCCCGCTTCCCGACCAAGCCTGAAATATACATTTTTTAAATTGTCAAAATTTTGAAAATTTATTTTAAATTATAGATTTAATTATTTTTTATTTAAAGAGTATGTATTTTTTATGTAAATGTAATTTTGTGTATCTTTTTTTTATCCATTTAATTTGTAAACAAAAACTTATATGAAGTTTCTGGTTACTAAACACAAACAATGCATACAAAGTAACTTACGGATGAACAAGCACTGCGCCTGAAGTCACGACAGAACACAAATATACATAGCAAGTTATTAGATATAAAGAAAAATCACTAAACATCATGAACGATTTTGTGAAGCAGTTTCGCTTCCTCGTCATAAAGTATTTTTAACCTTTTTAGTTGATTTCTATCTAGTTAATTTGATTTCTATAGTAATTCAATGATTTAATTATTTCATTTGTTTATTATTCTAAGAAGAATTGTTTCAAATATGTTAAACTTTTCAATTTACGCGAAACATAAAATAGGTACTAAAAAAATTAACTTTTTTATTTATAAAATAATTTAGCTTTAGATAAAACTAAAGCTTTGATAAATAAAGAAAATTTGTTTCCTTTTTAAACAAACGTAAGATGTTACTTTATATAAAAAACGTCGCTTAATTTTGTATAAAATATATAAAAGAGTGATGTTTTGAAAATATTTGTTCTAAACGTAATTTATTTTGCTTTAAGTTTTTTCGTGTTAAAAGATATTTTATTTTCCTAATTTTTTTTTGTAATTGTCTCTCATCGGTCCAATTAATCTTTTGCGTGCATTTTTTTTTGCTTTTTGAAATGTTCTCAAAACGACTAAAAAATCTGGCCAGCTTAGCGCAACTAAATATTATTTCCGTAATCAGCAATCGAGAGCTATAGCTCCTGCCTCCCGACCAAGCCTGCTTTATAGCTACTCCTATTAATTTGCATGCCTAAGAAACTGATATTTTTTAATTCTTTCTTGGTAATATCTATTGTCAGAGGACCTAATATTCCCATATTTATTGCTTAATATTTAATACAAGCCATAGATTCACTTCTTACAAATTCTGAACTTTTTAAGATGAATATAGTTTTGTTGTACAGTTTAATGATCGAAAACTAAAATGATGTGAAACAGTGTGATACGACAACACCAGCTTAGCTGCAGATATATTTCTCTTCTTTTCTGTACTATGAGAAATCATTAAATTGTTAAGACTCTGACAGTTTTCAACTGAACTTTTTTTGTTATTTTCTGTAATTAAGTGAAGGTAAGGGGATGTTTCCCCTTAATTACCAACATTAATGGTCACATTACAGACTACACAGAATGCTTGTTCTAGATTCTTTGTTGGTTTGAATTGCTTATAAGATTATTGTAATTAACCCATAAATAAACACTTTCTTTAGTCACTTAAATCTCAAAAAAGAAAATAAAAATAAAAAATAATTTTTTATATTACTCAGTTAATAATTAATTAAAAAATTCAATTTATTATTATGAAAAAAGCTAAACTAATAAAAGTTAAACTATTTACATTTAAAAAATTGCTTCAAATTTATCTTAAAAAAAGAATTTTATATTAAAAAAACTAACTAGCAAAAAGTTATAAGATAATAGGAGAATAAGAATTTTTATACAAAAATTCTGTATTTCAAAACCTCAAACTATTCACATTCAAATATGAGGGGAATATCTTAGGTCCAAACTAATTAGATTAAAATATAAGGGAACAATCATGCACAGAATTATTAAACAGACAAAAATTTTATAATAAAGCAGGATGTTTATCAAGCTGAAAACACCCTAATTCGACTGCTTGAAGAACATCATTTTGCTATAAATATTAAATAGAGTAGGTTTTAACAATCAGGCATATATCCATTTAATAATCCTCACCAAAAATTCTGAGAAATTATAAGAACAAAAAACAAATAACAGTAAAATATGCCTAAAACCTAAAATTATAGTGTTTTACCATCAAGTGACACTAAACAAAAAAGTAATAAGACAAATTAAGTAATTCATCTGTTGCACATCATCCATCGATTTACACAGATTTAAATCTAAACAATGAAAAGCATTCATCTTAAAAGTCTGAGAAATCTATTGTTTTAACTAAAATTCTACAAAAAAAAACTGTTCAAAATTGTTAGGCAATTAGTAGACATTCTTAAAAATATGGTATACCCCATAAACTTTATGAAAAAACTTATTAAGTGATTTTCCTTAAGAATAATGATACAAGCATTGTCATTATGCATGATAATGCCGGTAAAATTCCTGAACACAAGCTTATACTTGGAACAACTTTTTTTTTTTTAATTTCTTTGAATTGTTTTAAAATTATTTTATACGTCTTAAAATGCATTAAAGTTATTTTATGTTTTTATGTTCAATGAAGGTTTTTTTCCACTTAAAGCTTTATTATTTCACTTAGATAACTTTGCCAAAGCATACAAAATAAAAAGTTCATAATTAAACTAAAATATTATTATCTAGATATCAATCAATTTTTTGTATACTTTCTAAGATAAATATTTTTTATATCAATATTTTGAAAAATTATTAACAGTATAATCTTTTATCACACTCAATTTATTTCTAGATTAGTAAATTTTTTTTTGTATTATTTGTTTATATTTTCAACTACTGGTAAACATACCGATCGATTAAGAAAATAAACCATTCCAAATGCATAATCCAAGTAGCAACAAGCGTCACTATAAGCAGCACCACAAACAGGATTTTCTAAAATATTTTCATTTTCAATAAACTGGTATTCAGCGAGAGCACGAGCACGTTTTACTGCTAAATGCCTAAATTCAGATAAAGGCATTCGAAGATAGTCATCCCATGTTTTTCCTGTGTTAAATAGTGGATCTTTCTCAAGAGTAGTAAACCATTTTTCTAAGCATATTGCATATCCTTCTCCTGCCACATAATAAAGTAGTTTACGGCTGTTAATTGGTACATAGTATGCCATTTTTTCATATAACTTTAAAAACTATTAAATTCAAGAGGTATTTAAACTTGGATTAAATTTTTAAAAGTTTAAATTTTTCAAAATGATGTTTCTTATTCAATTTACATGTCGGAATTATTCGATAACGACGATATTTGCGGTTTATCGTTAAAGTTGACGAGACTTTGTTAATGTTGTTAATCAAAGGGCTCCCCCCATTCCACAGTGGGACATGTCAATACAACATGCTAAAAAATTTGTTATAATGATGAAGACGTGTTCATTAGGGAAAATATGTAGTAAAATAAATATTACACATTAACAGAGCATCGCAACCAAATATTTAAATTAGCTACCGCTAAGTTCCGCATCTTTAGTAATCAAAAACCGCTACCGCTCTTCTGCGGCTTTGTCAAACATTAAAATTAGTTGTCTAGTCCGCTTCTAGTCCGAAACTAAAAGGTTTTTTTTTTAAAAAAAAAAAAGCAAAAGAAAAAAATTTACTTTCAGCCTCTCCCACGTTGAGTTCATGATATCCATCTGGGATGGTATAAAGTGACGGTTTATATTATATTTTTACTTTTTTTAGTTTTTTACACCTAATTTAAATTTACTTAGTGCTGCTAATTTTTTATGAGTAAATTGTAACTTACATCTATGTCGTCAGCATCCACCTGGCGAATCTTGTTGGATTCTGCCACAAAGCTCAATTTTTTGGAGTTAATTTCGTGCAAAAAGTAACAAACCATTCTTATTATCTTTTTACTAAAACTATTGTATCGCCTACTGAGCTATATTCGTAAAGAATGTAGCTGACAATTGGCAACTTTTTTTTTTTTTTTAATTATCTTCGCTTCCAACAAGCTGCAAGCAACCACTAATTGGTGTTGGAAGTTACTGGAAGAGAAAAGATGAAGATTGTAGAGCAAGATAACGATTGACAGACGACTTAAAAGATTGCAAATTATATGAATCAGGAAAGCAAGATGAAGGAAGCGAATTCCAAAGAACTGATGTTCGAGGAAAAAAACTAGACGAATAAGAGTTTTTGGAACAGTAACAAAAAAAGGATGAGACTTAATTGAATGACGAGTAACACGAGAATGAATTTTAGTAGATGGCACAAGAGACGCTAGCTCTTTAGAGCAGTGTAAAATAGATGCACAAAAGAATGACAGTTTCATTTAGATGTAAAAAATATAGATAATGTAGATTGTTATGTTTATATGCAACAAAAAATTGTAAAAAATTATGTTCTTTGACTGATAGGTGTTATAACGCATCATAGCAGGTGTTCAAACTGGTAATCCCCGGTGTTGCCAACCTCAGGGCTGTCTTAATGTCATTTGCCATCACAGTTTTCCTTTTTTAAGCATTCCGTATCTCATGAGCCTTTGCAGCTGACTTTAAAAACAATGGCCTGGGATTCGAATTCAAAGTTGGCAATATCTAGAATTCTTACTAGCAATTAAAGTCTGAGCTGCACAACGACTGTGCTTTTTTAGGATGATAATAATTGATAACAATAATAACAAACCAATAGTGAATAAGTTCAAGAAGCTAGAAATAAAAATTTAAAAAAATGGGAACATTGTTCCAATAGAATGTCTAGAAAAAATACAAATGAAGATGTCATGAAAAGACTTTTATGTAAATCTAATCCAGTTATTTGATCCTAGAGATAAACTGTTTTATCAATAATAATAAAAAACTTTCTACTGTTTCTTTCTACTGTTTCTACTGTTGACCTTTCTATTTTCCAAAATGCTTTGTTCGAGAACGTAGATAAATCTAGTTCTTAAGTTTTAATTATAATATTATTTAAAACAATTTTAATATTGATTTTTAAGGTGTAAGCAATAGATATGAGCTTCATATTCATTTTTTTTGGTTTGTATATTTACATTTTAACAATTCTAAAAACAAAAACCGATAAAATAACTTTACCACAAAAACGCTTTTCTAACCCATGCACAGTGAATCGACTCATACAATCTAGCTGGACAAAAATGTTTTGTTCACGAATTCGATTTTTCTAGTCATGAAAGGTTGAAATAAATAATACTGTTATAATAAAAATAGAAGTAATAAATATATTTGTAAAGCAAGAATACATAATATTATACAATAAATTTTATAATTAGTTATCAGAAAACTCGTCGTTTATATCCTCTAAACACTCACCTAATTGTAACTTGTTTGATGAATTTGATGTTTGATGAACAAATTGTAACTTGTTTGATGAATTTGATTCATCAAACAAGTTACAATTTGCAATTTTGGAGCCGGAACAATCAAATTCAAAACCTCTACTGGCAATTTTTTGCTTTTTATTGCAGGCAGCTCTCTAAGTGAATTGATAACAGGGTCAGATGTTATTAAGAGCATATTCAACAAATCCATATTTGTAGAAATGCGTGAGTTTTTCCTGGTATGATGTTCTTGAAATCTCCTACAGTCTTTATTTCGTGCTTCTTGAGATTCTTCTGAAAGTTGTCCAATCGGAAGAATACACGAACTAATAACTTCCGTGCTATGCATTAAAATTTTGTGGACTGTAACCGGCATGTAATACCACGAATATAAATGTAAATATAAAGTCCTTGTTTCGAAACAAAGTTTTTCAAATTTGACACAATTAATGTCATGACCAGAAGATAGCGTTCTTAATAAAACACTAAATTTTTTAATTAATTCGACGTTTAATCCTGTAATCTCTCCGCTCTTTTCTGGATTTAAAAAAAATCTGCGAGCTGTGTTGCGATCATTTGTATTGCCATAATGTGGTTTCGGTCTATCCACAATTAGCCCCATCTGTTTTTTAAACTTTTGTCTAATCTCTTCCGAACATTCTCTCATACGACATTTATCCCCATTGCTTCTAACTTGCCACTTTTTAATGTCTAAACGGTAACTAATGTGTAGCAAGCATTCAAATGTACGTATCCATGCATGCAAAGTAGACAAACCAAAATTGTAATTTTCTTTTTTATCAACCATACCTTTTAATTCGCCATTCATTATTTTTGGAGTAGCACCACAAATATAACATTTTTGTGTAGAGCGCGTATCGTTTAAAGCATTACAAACTTTTCCGTGTGTCATTGTAAGTAACAAATTGTGCTTCACAGTGAATTTAAATTCGCCAACAGTACACAGTGTTGGAAGAAGTTCAGATATTTCTTTCAAAACTTTGTCTGTTTCTATTAGAGTAAATTCCTGTGTTTCTTTTGAAAATATAAATTTAATTGGTTGGCAATAAAGTGTTGACGATGGCCGAGGATTTTGCCAAATAATAGTATTACCCGACGGGCATTTGTTTTTAAAAGTTACGTTCTAAATGTGTTTTAAACGTCTTTTAAACGTCTTTTAAACAGTAATGTTTAAAAGACGTTTAAAAGACATTTAAAATACATTTAGATCGTAACTTTCAAAAACAAATTCCCGTCGGGTAGAGTCATCACTCAATCTCAACGGGACAAACGCAAACACAAAAAGAAATTCATCATTATTATCGGAGTTCTCAAATCTTTGTTTATAGGTACTGTGGCCAGAACTTCCGTCACATCCCCATTTGCTTATTAATGTAAGCGACAAATTAGAGGATGCATTTTCGGAAAATCGACTTATTATTTCAATTAAGCGTTCAGTTGTTTTATTCAATATGGCTTGAAGTTTAATTTCAGCTCGTGTTTCTGAGATAGAAATAAATTCTTCAGGAGGGTAACACAACCTTTTGGATCTACATAAATTATAGTGAGACGGAAATACTTCATGCCCTGCTTTTAACAACCATTTTCTTGTTTGTTTATAAGAGTGACTAGTACACTTTGAATCAACATAATAGGCAAGTGCCTCATTGTTACTTAACTGCATGGTACCACAAATAACATCAGTAGATTTTTTTCGCTCTAAGGTATCTGTACTTTTTCTAATAGAAGTAGCTACGTTTCTTTGACCCGACAAACGATGTGCTATTTCAGCAGCCGTTGTTAATTCATTGGCACTCCGCAATTGCAATAAGTCTTCAACTCTACGTCTTTTACTTTTTAAAGATAAGTCTTCAAAGCTTTTCTTTGGCCGACCTTGAGGCCGATTTCCTTCAGATGTTATGGAAGCACAGGACCGATGCAAACTTATTTTAAATTCTAAATTATTGCTCTCTAACCAACTTTTATTTTTCTTTAAAAATATATCAATATTTCTATTGGCTGCATTCCACTTTTGCGCTAATTTAGCGGATATGCTTGCAGCTTTTAACTGTATTTTTTTTTTCGAATCACTAGTAACATCTTCTGTAAAATAGTCTTTCAATATATATATATATATACACGAAGAATGTTAGAGTAAAAGACAGAAGAAGTCGTGTTAGAAAGATAGCATACAGAAAGCGGACAGGATTGCACACGATGTTAGAAGGTGCAATATGTTACTATACACATAATTGGCTTAAGCCAATTAATGTATGCAATATATATATATATATATATATATATATATATATATATATATATATATATATATATATATATATATATATATATATATATATATATATATATATATATATATATATATAGGTATTGTGGTTTATCCTCCTCCAGCTAATTGCCATACGGAGGCCACATTACCAAGGACCGCAAAGACAAGTTCAGCTAATAAATAGCGTCATTACCTGCTCTACGGACCAAGAGTAAAGTGAGTTTAGGAAGAACGAAGAATGTTAGAGTAAAAGACAGTAGAAGTCGTGTTAGAAAGATAGTATACAGAAAGCGGACAGGATTGCACACGATTTTAGAAGGTGCAATATGTTACTATACACATAATTGGCTTAAACCAATTAATGTATGCAAAAAATATATATATATATATATATATATATATATATATATATATATATATATATATATATATATATATATATATATATATATATGTAGAAATAAGTAGATAGGTATATAAATGCGTTGAGTATATAAATGTTTTACAAACGGCATAAATAACAGCAGCGTACTACTTTTTATTATGAATTAATTTATTTTATTTCAATCTAAATCAGACGTAAAATAATAATCATTCGTCTTCAAACGTGAAATAATACTCATATAAGTTACAAAACCAATGATTTGTATATAGAAATAGGTATATATATATATATATATATATATATATATATACATATATATATATATATATATATATATATATATATATATATATATATATATATATATATATATATACATATACATACATACATACATATATGTATTTAAATAAATATATATATATCCCGCTGGAAAATCGGCAAGCGAATAGCTAACTATAATCGTTACGATTAAGACAGCAATTTGGCCACGAGGATCGCTAGCTTTTTTAAGTTAGCGAAAGGCTATCGATATTTTTAAAGATAAAGACAGCAATTTGGCTACGAGGAAAGCTAGCTTAATAAGCTGAAGATCCACCTCAGCCGGCACAAAACTGCCTTTGAGACGTCTAATTAACGTCTTCCACCGGTGTCTCAATCAAATCTAAAAAACATTCTAAATGTTAACACCTTTTAGACGTCTTAATGCCGATGGATTTGAGATATCTTATTTAAGTAATCTAAAATACAGCGAGATTGTAACGCATTGTACACGACTAAATTCTGATTTCTTTAAGACTGCTTATTTGAGTCATCTTAAAGCCATCGCGATGATAACATCTTACAGCCGTGTAAATTCGGATATCATTGAGACAACTTATACTGGTTATCTGTAAGATATCTGCCTATCACATGTCTTTAAGACGTCTCTTATCAGTAATCTTATAGACGTCTATTACTTAAACACCTTTTAGTAATCTAAATGTAGATGTCTTCAAAACACCTAATGTTAGTAATCTTTACAACGGCTAAATACCTGTAAAGCTGTTAAAAACTTACTAGCACTACATTTTAAGATATAGTACAAATAAAAACTAAATATTAAAATGAAACTATTAAATATTATAATTTTAGTTCAGTGTTCTTGCGTGCTGGAGCATTTCTTAAAACGTTTTGAATTATCTTGTAAAACTCAGCTTCAGTTGTTTTTGGAAAGTTATGAAGCACAGCATTGTATAGAAGGCGGTATACTATTGAATCTGCAAATTTAATTTTTTTATTTGTTCCTTTACCATGACCCTACATGTTTAAATTAGCCATTACATCTCTGCTCATAACACGTTTCACGAGGCTCTTGACGCAATCTCTCCAATCGTATCCTCCAACAAGGCGAAGTTGCGTCAGCTAGAAAGAAAAAAGTTATCAGATATAACATTAAATAATTAAATTTATATACGAATGCCGCCCCCTCCATTTATCACGCCCCCTATTATTTATTATTAAGATATAAAAGTTTTATATTATAGTTTTAAATATAATAATTTACTTTTACAGATAGAAACGAGTCATCCAATAGATTTTGTTCAAATTCCATATACTCATCGATAGTGGTGATCACGTCCGTATCATTAACCAACGAACAGTTAATTGCTAATTAAACTGTTCCCACTGCAGCACCTGTTGTTGCGCATCCATCGAACAACGTTTTGTTGAAAAGAAAGAACTGAGCGTTGAAAACCTGTTAAAATAATAATGTATTTTAATATAGAAAACTGCAGTGTTATAACCTTTGGAAGGAAAAAGTCAATGCTTAAGAAATTTTCAACTTTGAATTCGAAACGAAAATTTTAATTCAATTATTTATTAAAATACTAAAAAAAACATGGCAACAAATGTCAAACTAACTTGTATTTGACATAAGAATAAATTCCTTATCCTCTGAACCATCATCAGACACGCTTACTGCAACGATAAGAAAAAAAATCACTCTTTTAAACCCACTTTTTTTAACTCCATTTTTATCGTATTGAATAAACAATACATAAACTATTTTACAAATCATAAAGAAAGTTTAAAGAAGACACTATTAAATTTAATTTCATACAACAGAGAAAAACATCTTATAAAATTACTGTTAAAAGTAAACTGGTACCTGCAGATATATCAAAATTAGGTTTGTGCCTCATCAAAATTTTTTTGATGAGGCACGGTCAGCTGAAAGACCTTCGGGTGGCCATCGAAGCACATCACCTTCAACCCAAACATGTGGAATTACATCTTCCATGAACTTACCATTCTCTTCCCACACAACAAGAGACCACATTTTTATATATGCTATAATACTATTTTATACAATACAAATGTGAATAAAAAACTAAAAAACTTTCCTTCATAAAAAAATTTAATTAAATTATTAAGTTGATGCATATAATAAAAATATGTATTTGTATAAAATGTTTTGAATTACAGCAGTAACAAAAATTAAAAGAAAAAAATTATTATCAAAAAGAAAAATTACTAACAAAAAGAAAAATTACTAACAAAAAGAAAAATTACTAACAAAAAGAAAAATTACTAATAAAAAGAAAAATTACTAACAAAAAGAAAAATTACTAACAAAAAGAAAAATTACTAACAAAAAGAAAAATTACTAACAAAAAGAAAAATTATTATCAAAAAGAAAATTTTCCTTTTTGTTGTTACTAACAAAAAGAAAAAATAAGCAAAAAATACAGCAAAATAAATCTTTCAAACAATAATTTCAAACAGTATCAAATTTGATACAAAGAAGTTTTCACATTTTTCTAATTTAAATGTATCACACTGGAAATGATCATTGTCAATCTTTTGTCGCACAACTACATATTTTTCTTTCTTTATTAAAAAAAAGAATAAATCTCTTTCTCTAACTGAAATTTTAGGCTTAGCAATCTGCATTGATCTTTCAAGTCCATTTACTGATAATCTTTTTGCTACTTGTGCAATTGGGTTGCTTGCATTTTTTACCATTTGTTTTAGTGATTTCATAAAGTTTTCGAATGGAAAAGCCGAAATTTCATTTAGTGACTTGCCTGAAAATTCTATATCTTCATGCAAGTGTACTAGTCCATGTATATTGTACACAGTGAACGTTGGACCGTACAAATGTTTTGCTTTCTGAACAAAATATATTAAAAACCTTTTCGCAAAATCATGATAATGGTCTCTAGATTTTTTATTTGAATTACAAAATATACAAATACCAATGTGCAGAACAAGAAAATGTTCATAGTATTTTTTTGATAAAACCGATTTTAAAACCAATGGACCAGTGTACAGTAAGAATGACCTAAATTCAGTTACCTTCCAACGATCTAAATCACATAATGTACGTGGTTGTCATGCGAAATCGGATGGCAAAGTTCCAGTGAGCTCTATTAATTTACTGTTGATTGTTTGAATTTGCACATTCGACAACTTTCAAATGCGAGGACCTCATTTCAGAAATGTCAATAATCTTTTTACAATGCCAAGAAATACTAGGTGCATAGAATCTAAGGTGAATAGATAAATTGATGTAAACATGGGAATTAACGGTGATTGCCCATTTTGATGAACCCCTGCATACGCAAATTCCTTAAAATCTGCAATTGTTCGAGGATTCACTAAATTTGTACTGTTAAAAACAACTCTATGTTGAACATATGTTCCTTCAATCTGACACATCACAAGAATTGTAACCTGTGTGGCTGACGATGTACTTCAAGAATAAACGAGCAGGTGCATCACAAATAAAATTTTTTAAAGAAAGAGAAAAACGTTTTTCATTTACAATAATCGCTCCAGATAAATTTTTAAATTCTGAAATAATTTCACTAAGAAAATCATGCACATTATCTGGTTTATTTTTACCTAAAAACAAGGAAATTATAAAAACATCAAGACATCCAAAATATCCCAATATTGGCCAAAAAGAAATTCCAGTGGATTTAAAAAGTGGTAAACCATCTACATTTATGTATAAATCAATGGTATTGTTATTTTTAAAATAATCTGCATTTGCAAGTAAGCACTTTTTAATGCCTTCTTGTAAACCAAAATGTAAGAAGGTGCCTCAACATTTTTCAACTTCATGGGTTGTTCTTGGAGTTTTCATCAAAGTCCTTGAATCTTTTGGCAATGATAGGTGCCTATTCTTTATTAATAGTTTCAGCAAACCATCTACAAATTCACGAAAGCAGTTATTTCTACTGATAAGTCTACTTAATTTCATCTGAAAATCATTTGTATCTGGAATACCACCATCAGAGGCATCTGATGAAGACAACACAGCTTTATTATATCCAAAGTCATTGCTATAATCACAGCTAAACTGTTCAGCACTATCATTACTTTGGAAAAATGCATTGCAGATTGATATTCATTTGAATCTGAATCATTAACATCAACTTCAACATTGTCAATCACAAAATCATGGTCTTTTTTTCTGCTACGATATTTTCTCATATAAGATCTCATGTATAGTTTATGCTAATCCTGGCGCCTTGGCATAATATTTTTTTTAATGATTATAAATTCTGGAAAATTGCTAAAACACCTTTAAGAATAATTTAAAATTTTATTACAACTTTAAAAATACATTAGGTAGGGGGTTGTCCAAAAAGTATATCACGCTTTTTTTGCTAACAATCTTAAGTTAATAAAAATGAATATTTGAATTACAGCGTCTTAAGGTCTTCAAAAATATGACATTTTTTACACACAAAATATTCAAAAGAAATATGTCACTGCGTTTTAAAACTTAAATAAAATAAAAATACGGCATTACACATAAATATAAGAAGTGTTACAAAAATACTTCCTTATTTTAATTACTAAATAGGTAGTAACAAGGTTCGCATTCAAAAATAATTTATGTGATGTTACATTTATTGTAACCCCATCACTCCCCTTAGTTACAAACTGCCACAAATGTCTGCCTCCCTCTATGTCTAAAATATTAAAAATATTCATGAGATACAATTTATGACAAGTTAAGTAATTTTTGTCAATAAACTAAAAAATTTTAGGAAAAAATCTAACAAGGCAAAAAATCGATAAATCATAGCCAGAGATCCAAAGCATGGCCATTGCAAACTTGTTCCTGGCCATTACGTTTTACGAAGTTATATTAGTGACAATATTTTAAAATTTAAATGAAAAACATTTATTATCGCAAGTTTAAAAAATATGTTCTGCCTAAATTATATACAAATTTAGTATAATTTTTAAACTCAGAAAAAATGTTGCATTTATTGCACTAATAAAAGTTAGATTATATTTTTATTTTTAAAAATTTGGAAAGCCACTAACTCAATATTTATGGCAATAAACTTTTTTGAAAAGTGGTCAGGGTTTGGTGGATTGCCAAGTATAGGTAGTTTTACCCTGTGAGCAATATGCATAAAAATTTAGTTTTCTATGGAATTATTTTAATTGTAAAGAAAAGCACACACAAATATATATATATATATATATATATATATATATATATATATATATATATATATATATAAATGATACTGCATACTTTAGTCAGCGGTATGACGTCACACTGATTTAGGGATAGACAAGGGCTTTAGTACATACATCGACTGATTTAGGGAGAACTCGCAAGGGAGTTGATAACACACCAAAGGGTCAGGGTTAGGGTTATATACCATAGGGTCAGGGTTATATATATATATATATATGTATATATATATATATATATGTATATATATATATATATATATATATATATATATATATTTATATATATATATATATATATATGTATATATATATATGTATATATATATATGTATATATATATATATGTATATATATATATATATATATATATATATATATGTATATATATATGTATATATACATGTATATATATATATATATATATATATATATATATATATATATATATATATATATATATATATATATATATATATATATATATATATATATATATATACAACTGCACATATAGGTAAGCAAAACATTTTGATTACCTATATGTGCTAGATGTAGATATACATATATATAATAAAAATAATAATAACAATATTAATAACAATAATATATATGATAATAACAAAGTATAATATATTATATTTTATTATTATTATAACAAAAATATTATTATATTATCATATATAAATTATTATATTATAGATATATATTTTTAATATAGAATAGAATAGAATAGAAAAGGTGCTGTACACACATGAGGTGTGTAGAGTCTTAATTACGTAGAATTAAGACTATGACAGCCGATTACAAAAATTAGTGTTCAGAAACCGAAATAATTATCGATACTGTTTTTAAAAATGTTTAAATTATCTTTATCTAATACCCATTGTGGAAGAGAATTCCAATCATTTATAACTCTGTTTGTAAAGAAATGGTGACGAATTCTTGATTTTGTAAATTGTCTGCGTATTCTACAATTGTTACTTCTACTAGATCGCTCCAGCTCAAAATTTAAAGTAGGGTGGTGAAAATTAACAATATCTTTCCCTTTTGAGATCTTATACATTTGAATCAGATCACCTCTTCTTCTTCTATCATATAAAGTTGGCAATTCAAGTATCTTTAATCTTTCTTTATACGACTTCCCCCTTAAAGATTCAATTCTCGTAGCCCTGTGTTGCACGATTTCAAGATTGTCAATGTCCTTTTTTCCAAAATGGACTCCAAACTGTTGCTACATATTCCAAATGGGGACGTACTAACAATTTGTATAGTAACTTTAATGAAAATTCATTCAAATACTCAAAAGAGTTTTTGATCATGCCTAATTTTCTGTTTGCTTTACCTATAGCTGAATTAATATATTTCCACTCTAGATTGAAATGAAAATCCCAAGATCATTTTCTATCATTGTTTCTGTTAAAAAAGAGTTGTTCAATTTATATTCATATCTGGGATTCTTTTTGCCAATATACATGACTTTACATTTTGATTCATTAAATGTAATTAACCAATCTTCAGACCATTTAACTAACCTGTTAATATCCTCTTGGGTCATTCCATGTAAAACTGGGACAGTCATTTCAGTCACCTCTTGGATTTTCTTTAAATTTTACCCAGTGGTACATTATAATGAAACATGAAAAAATGCAAAATTTTAGCTCCCAAATCCAAATGGTTCAAAAGTTATGACGTTTTGAATTTCAGCCTAAAACGTTCCTTTTTTTGCCAAGTCCGCCATTATGGATTTTGTAGTTGTACTTTTTAATGAATAATTTAAAATCTAGTGGAAGAATGTGGCTAAAAATGAGTACCTGACTATTTTTGAGGGTGCTGAATTCAAAAATGTAAAGCAAATAGTGAAATTTAAATTTTATGATGATTATTTTTTGATTTTAAAA